CTCCGTTCCAAAGCTGAAGAACTTTATGAAAATGACATTTTGTGCTCCTGTTCATCCAGCACTCACACTGAGACAGTCTGAGTTAGCAACATCCCAACTTGTTTGAAATCACAGACCAACACATTTCATTTACAACTCTGAAAAACCCAACAGCTTTCTATCCTGCCCTGTTTCAGGATCACAGTGCTCATGTCTCTGATGTGAGAAAAGGCTTCCCAACCACAGTGCAAAGCATTGCACTTCCACCTTATTCGCAGGAGCAGCAAGTAAAAATAGATTGTCTCAGAAGACCAAATTAGTGTGTTGCAAGGCAAAAATTGGTATAAGCAAGATTTCCATTTGCTACTCCTCTCCAAAGGGGACACTGGCTCTTACCTCAGAATTTGCTTCACCACCTGGTCTCAGCTGGAGTTGTACCATAACTAAAATTCTGCCTTGCTGAAGAGTGTGCACTTATTCCTCCTGAGCAACAAGCAATGTATTATTCTGACAGATATGTTCAGCTTGCATAAACCATACATAACTCATTCATCTTCCCACTGTCTCATGGGGTCTCGTGACTTTCTTTCCAGTTTATGATTCTCTGTGTTCAGCCAAAYGAGTTGAAAACCAGAGGTTTTTGGGGAACAATGATGCTGCAGCCAAAGATGCACCTCTGAAACTGCTTAGCAAAGCCTTGTTGGAAAATATGTTGTCAAACCACCGAGTCCTCCCCTCATGTGACTATATCCAAACCATCTCACATGCTGGGATTCAAGCTGAAAACTCTGTGGTTTTTRAGAAAAAAAGTATTCCTTTGGGTTTGCTTTTGTTAAACATTCATTTTATTTTCACCACCCCTACTGCCCAAGAATGCTAATCAAAATTGTTTTACAGGATCTGAAACCAGTAAGATTTATCAATTTGAGTAGTTTTCTATAAACACCATCTCTGTTTCACACAAGTATGGACCAGAAAAGTGGATATTTTTAGTAAGAAAGCACAGTCTGCACTTTTTGTATTGTTCAAAATTAAAATTCAGCTTCTACAAACCTCTGACCTTTCTGTTATCCTTCCCATATCCCCCAAAAATCCCTGTGGGCTTCAGGAGCTGTTACTCTGCACCAGTTTGCTTGCCTCTCTGCCTTACTGGGCACTGCTCTTTATAAAAAATGTGTATTGTTCACAGTTTGAAATATAATCAAAAATTAAATTTTTATTTTCCAGAAACTATTTTAATGCAAAGGTTTTAAATGGCATTGTAAAAATGGCCAAAATTAAAGCAACAAAAACCCAACAGCCACCTCCCAGTCAGCTCCCTTCAGGAAATCTACAGGAACATCACTGTCTGCAAAATCTGTGGTGTGCTGTTAAAAATCAACCTGCTGCACGTGGCAGCTTTCTGCACCTCTGGCTGGAGTTAATCCTTTGCACCCTGCAGCTGCACACCTCGCTGTCCAGGAAACCACTGTAAGAGCTGCATGGGCATTTCTTCTGTCACATGTCTCAAACACAGCTTCCTTGCAGCCACTTCAGAACTTGCCTTGCCCCCAGTTCCATTTTCCAAAMTGGAACAAAAATGAACATGCAAATGGAGCTAAGGCAATGGCTACATTTCATCCATGTGCCTCTGGAGAGAAGTGGAGCWGTGAGGCTGGAGCAAGAAGTTGCTAGATAAATACCAAGTTACAGCCACATCCAACACTTCTTCCCAAAGGGTTCTTACAAACCCTCCCACAAAAGCTGCAGCCCAGATTTCCCAAGACATGCCCAAGTAGAGAGAAGTTTAATCAATTTTTTTATCTTCCCGGGTACCATTKAAGCATTTTTCATTAACTGAATGCTGAGTTGCATTTCAGTATTTAATCCTCAAAACCACATGTATTTATTTTTCCATTCCATCATTATTAGACCTGAACCACCACAATCCACACCTATAAGTCACYAGGCAGCAGTATAATCAAACTAAAGGTAAAAGCTAAGGCTTATTTTGAGTTGTCTAAAATGTGCTTGGAATTCAGGTCTTCCTGCTCATATGAAGCCCCCTTTAGATCTTACGGTAAGTAGGGTGTCATAAAAGTAAACAAGACATAAAAAATCAATAATGCATTGACTTCATTAAAAGCAGCACCTCACCTCAACTCAGTACTAAAAATCTGTAACACACAATATTCCATATGGAACAGAATACTTCATTATTCCTACAGGCCTTCACTATTTTACTCAAACAATTTGTTATCAAAACAACCATGAAATGAAAGAAGCAAGATAACAAAACCCTTCTGGAGATTCAACCGAAGGCATCAATTCAACACTGTATTTCTGTACTGCTGAAAAAAGCCTGTCAAGCAGTTGAAGTGAACACAATGCTTAAACAACACACTTATATGGAAATAAAATATATTAACTCCCTAGGGAACAAAACCAAAACTCAAGAAATTCCTGGAGGGGAAGAAAAACAAAGGGGAGGGAAAGGGGGGGGGGGGGGGGGGGGGGGGGGGGGGGGGGGGGGGGGGGGGGGGGGGGGGGGGGGAGGGGAGGGGGGAGAGGGGAGAGGGGAGAGGGGAGGGGGGAGGTAAGAAAAACAAGATGTCTTTCAAAGGATTTGTTTCCTTCTGATAATCAGACTGCCACAAAACTCTCAAAACCATAGAGGGTTTGTTTCCTTTAAATCAGAAAAGTCAGGAGAGAAATGGATGCTAATTGCACAATGAATGCATAAAATGTTTTGGAAATGGACTTCGGGACATGAGTCTAGAGGAGCATGAAGAAGCTGTAGAAAGAACATGATCAGACCTCTTTGATTTAGAAAAAAAACCCTGTCATCTCTTGATATGAAAATTTTCATCTGGATTGAAAAAAAAAGAGAGAAAAGAGAGAAAATTGAGAAAAATAAATTCCTACCTGTCAACAGTGATTTCTAGACCTTATAAAGACTTGGTGGGGAACAATTAGCATGAGACTTAAAGGCATTGAAGACAGCAGAAGTGAGAGCATGCAAGTATATATAATATTTATGAAACCACAGGAAAGACTAGAAGCAAATTCATGGGAAAGCAACATACAAGCAATAAAAATATTTCCAGAACATGTCAAGCAAGTCTACCACCTATTTCCCTTGTAAGCTTTTCCTGTCCTAAATCCTATCTTTCAACCACAGTAGGCTGAGCCTCTCAGGTATCAATGTCTGCTTTCTTATAAATGCAAATCTCCAACATATAAATGCAAATCCCCAACATTTTTATTGTGACTTTTACATGTTGGGATGAAACCTGGGCTCTTCAAAGCTGGTATAACTGAGAGGGTCCCTCTCAAGTCTGGGAAAACCAGTCTTCCACTATKGTCACCATAAGCACCACCTTCTGAAACCATCCCAATATGGCCTTCACAATTGTTGTCTTCTGAAACTGAAGTATTTATGTAAAACCTTTTCCACAGGTTAACAAAACATCAACTTTCTCAATTACTACCTTTAAGTTGTATTCTAACAACAATAACACTGGGTGATCCTGATTTACAAGAATCATTCACCTTTCCATCTCTTTCCTTTATTTTTGAAGACTTGTAGGTACTAAAAACAACTTGAAGAAACAGAAATACACTACAAGTAGGATATAAGCTACACACCAAATGAACACTCCGCAGTTTTCATCTGGAAATAAACAAWAATGCATCTAAAAACAAGAGTGCTTGCAGTTATGATTCAAGACAACACTTAAATCACCACAAAAAATGAAATCTAGCCTATGGTTTTCTGGTTTGAATCCAATGGTTACTCCAGAGGCCATGCAGGCAATCAAACTGCTGATCAAATAACTGTGCTGTCCTCCCCAGAATTATTTTGGTTTAATTTGAATTCTTTTTTGTATGCCTCACAAGAAAAGAATGTGCAGCAGTCTTATCCACAAGCCTAAATACCTGAGCTTGTCTGGGACAAAGGCAAGAAAAACTTTCTACATTCATTTGATGTGGAAATGTACATTCTCAGCTTGTGCAATAACTTATGGCAATTTAACCTMATCTTATGACCTCCAGTCAAGTTAACTACATTTATTCTCTAATAAGCTACATGGTTGACCAGCAAAAACCAATGTTTTGTTGGCTCATCCCATTAAAACATATAAATAAAAGTATCTAGAAAAGTTTTGCTTTCTACTCCTACYAAGGAGCCAGATAATTTTCCTTAACGTTGAGCTTGCATGTTTATCATAGGGTGGGATCTTCCATTTGTCACAGGAATCATGCATATGTTCCCGTTCACCTTCGAGACTTTAATATGAGATCAATAGTTTTTGTGACAGGAATAAATAGCTGTGATACCCCAATGACATGAATAGCCAAGAAGGTTGTCACTGTGATAAAAAAAAAATAATGAAGAAAGAATTCTTTGAATACATGTACAAAAAGATTTCTGATGCTAAATGACTACAAAACTTACCCTACTATCTGGGCAGCAAATTTTCCAAACAGCATATAGAAAATCTTTTACATTTCCTGTGAAAATTATCACATGCATSTCCCACCTCTCCCCCTAACAATGTGATTTGCAGCCAAAACATTGGCAAATCCCTCAACAGAAGCCTGAAGAGACCTTTGTATCATCAGAGTTATTTTAATGTAACTGAAGCTTTGCTGTGGGTGGAGTGAAAMAGATTCTAAAAATACTTTAACTACATGGAATATTTCCTACTCTGCCCATTGCCTTAGAAAGGGACATCTGAAGTGGCTTCTSAATATAAGATAGGATGGTGGCCTTTAAATAGAGACAAGTAATGCTACAGAGGTTTGTGCACAGCAGCCAGTGCTTGATACAGCTGGGGATGATGAAGCTTCACACATCAACAGAATGATTACATTTACWGAACCAAATCACATATTAGGTATCCTTTGTAGTCTAAGACAACATAGAATTATACAATTTTGAACAAAAAATGAAAATAGAGCTAGAATTTTGCAAACTCCTTAAAAAAAAAAGATCACATGGCTCATTCTGAGATACTAGATTCAGTGCCATTACTTACCAAGCCAGCTATTGGAGTTGGCAGACGATTGATCTTCTTAACRATGCCAGGTTTGATCTTGTTAATCAAACTAAAAAAAAAGTAATATGATTTTCTGTTACATAATTTACTGTACTTAAGCATGAGCATCAATGCTTATTAAGAAATACTTTGCATATAGTCCTAACTTAGCATGATTTGAGCGATTTTGAGCTGAACCTATTAACACTCCCAAGAAGTGACAAGCAAGAACAGATTGTAGAAGCAAAAATGAGACAAGTCACACACAAAGAGATTTCTGGGAACAGCAAAGCGAGAAAGAAAAGAAAATGTCTGAGGARGCGTGGGCAGAAAAGGATCTGTGTTTCTACTACACGGGTGGTGATGCTAATTGGACTCAAATTTCCTATTTAAAGATTTTCTYCACATAAAGGTTCTGAGCAGATGTCAAAAATGTACCAGAATATTGATTTTCAGAATTCAGTGTGAAAGCACTGTAAGGGTGAGAAATAAACTYAGTTTTATAATGCTACCCAGCCCACCATGCTGTGTGCAACAATAATTTTTGGCACATATAATTTACATGCACAAGTCATTTTCCATCTCAGTCAGAAGAGACTGTACCTGACATCACTCTTTATATAAAATTCATAATTAAGCTGAGAAGACAGGACAGACTAACACATTGCTGTTGAATACACAAGCCCAAATGCATACCGTATCCTTAGTGAGGATGAGGYACAGGATTCCTTGTGGGTTTACACCCAGGTTTTCAGTCATGGAAGTAGGGAAATATTGTGGTTCATCAAATTACACACTAGACCACAGAGTATCAGTAGAGAACAGGGACCTCAGGACACCCTGCAGACTTCATCTGCCTATATACCTTTGAGGACTTTCCTACTTGCTCTCTTGTCTTGTTGCTGCTTGCCTGGTCAGATCTTTACCCAACAAGACCAGGAGTTTAAAACTGTGTGTGGGGAAAAAGCATCTTTTGCTCAAGCAGAAAATGTATTTGGAAAATGAACACAAAGAACAGCTTAACCCTATAGACTGAAATGAAGGATACATTTCTAAGTACCCACAGAAAAATAAAGAGYTGCAGGTACTGAGATTTTTCAATTSCACTAAGTTATGTAGCAAACAAGACACATTTCATTACTTTTCCCACCCAAAAAAAGGTGATCTGTTGAGGTGGAATAAAAAAAGAGTATGCATTCCTCCCCCTTTTTATTTTTAAATCTTCCAAATGTATAATTTTTATTTTATTCATTTTACTGAAGAACATGAAGWAGCACGTGACCAGGAAACTTCAGTRGATTTCTTTCTCTARAGYAMACTCATGAGAAYTGGCAAAACATAAAAGGCTTTATTTTGTCAACTACCGATCATTCAGCCAAGGTGTGCACTTGGTCATTGAGCAGGACAAACAAACCAACKGGATGCTACAAGAATAGATTTGTAYTTGCACCACATAATCTGCTATAATTTAAGTCAGATACACAATGTCCAGAGATAGTATATCCACTGACACCAAATTAGCCCTGCCACAGGTGAACCAAGGAAACAGACAATGTCATTTCTAGTTTGTCTCAATTGTTTAAGATCTTGCACCATACTGTCTTTGGTGAAAATTGGACATCTGAAAATTTTTGCCATCTGCTCTTTCCTGTTTCCATGGAATTTCTGTGAAAATCATTCCTCCTTGTACTTCAAGTGTGTCAAATTTAAAATTATGACACAGGAGAACAGCTATTTTAGTACAAGAAAATGAGGCATCCTTTGCTTTAAAGAAAGTTGCATGCCTCCTAAGGCAAGCTGCTCAACTGAAAAAATTACAGGATGTTTTTCTTGCATTACTATTAATTACAGATAAATTAACTGATTTACATTTGGCAGATGGAGCCTCATATTCTTTTGCCAAATAAGTGTCAACAATGAAGATATCAGAGGATTAGGATGTATCAGTAAATGGCCAATTCTTAAACACTCTGTAAAAGTTATATCTGAATACAATATACACATCCCACTAAACACATACCTCAAGAAATACCTTCTTATTGAAAGTATAAACTATTTTTATTACCACATTCACACTCATTAATATTTAATTACATAAGCAATGAAGATAAAGCACCTAGTTCTACAATATTATTGAAAATATTAACTCCCCATATCACAAATATAACTTCAGAAGCAACTAGCAAGAAAAGACTGGAAGGTCAAAGAATCTAAGAAAAATAAAGGCAAGGACAGAAAAGATGATAATATACACAAAAGCAAAAAATTATATATAGAGAAAGAAGTTCAGAGAAYTGAACTTCCATAAATATTTTCTGAAAATTAGCTCAGCTGAACTGGTTTTAGAATGGCTCTGAGATTTGTGGTATGGTTTTTTTTCAGCATCCCAGGTAGTTCTCTAGCAAGATTTCTCTTGCACTGGTGTCCTAATGACATTTAAACCTACTGTTCCTTAAAATACTAAGGGATTAGTATCACTTCCAGTCCTGGAAACCTGTTCCAGTAAGGGCAAAAGCAATTTAAGATATGTGGATGAGACCTGATGAATGGACATTTTACACCTCTGACTCAGTCTAGTAACGAAACCAGGCAAGCCCCATCATTGCCAAGCCTATCATAGATAGGCACAAGGAAGCTTCTTATAGGAAGTGTTCCAAAACAAGCTGAGTATAGAGCTCTATGGTAGGAATAGGGAGTTTGAGGAKTTATAGAACCAACACTCAAGGGCTRGGGAKGAAGGACAAAAATCCAAACCCAAACAACAACAGTATAGGGGTAACAAAATGCTTTGACCTCAGTCTTGGCCACACCACCTTGCACAAGCCAAAGAGAGAGCCCAGGGATATCCTGTGCATTGTAACCAAAACCAGAATAATCAATCACCAACAGCATGATCCTCTCAGTATCACATGAAGAAGTGTGAGGGACAACACACAGAACATGTGGATCTGGAAAAATAATGTCTGAAAGTTGTTTTTACTTCCCATGACAAACAACAGGGATTAAAAAAATTAATTCTTTACTACAAAATCTTTTTAATAACTCACCAAAAAAAAAAAAAAAAAAAAAAAAAAATCAGAGGCCAGGAAGGAAAGAGGCCTCCTGATGCCCACCTGACAGGTTTTTATATAGGCAAGTCAATACTCACTCGCACAACAGGACTCCATTTTCTAGAGCTGCTCGAAAGTCTTCAGTTCCAAAGCTTTGCCCAGTAACTGCCTGTAAGAATAAGAGCTGAGAGTTAATTGGACACACACAAAATCAGGGCTAGCAAGAGTATCTAAGTAATAGTAAAAGAAAAAAAAAGGAATAAATCAACAACCCTGATTCAACACTCAGTTCAAAAGAAACAAGTATTTAAAAGCCACTTCTTCATGGCTCAGAACAGGTCAGATATAACATCTTAAAGTAGTTTTCCCTARTGCAAGTCAATCTTCAGCTAAATTCTATAGGAATACTTATTATTTTCTAACGCAGTATCAGTCACATTGAAAAGCATTAAATAAATTTCAAACAAAAATGCAAAAGAGAGAGAGAAAGTCTTTTATCTCTCAACTTCAGGTTACAGAGGGCATACCCATGATATCTGCTATGAAGTTTTTTCCTAATAGCAAGTTTTCTTCGTGCCACTTGCACCTAAGGCAGTGTGACTAAAGAACCACTCCAAGTCTGCATTACCATGTGCACATCAATTCCGATTACTCGGCACATGGTAGGATTATACTAATGGGACTCCTTTGTATATTCACAGTGAAAAAGCAGTGAACAAGAACAATGTCTTAGAAAGGACTTAATATACCCAAACCCAAAAGAATTGCCTACAAGTT